ATAAAGGTCAATGTACGCGCGAACACAAATTCGCGCGGCCCGCAACTAGCGGGCCATCCCACAATATAATAATTTACAACACGTGTCTAAATACCTAACTTATCTACTTAACCTACTATTTTGCCACTGTGCTTATCTCCACGTAGCCACTTTAATCCGAATTTACAGGTTAAATAACCCAAATAACTGGTTCGATTCCCCGCTAATGAAGAAATACTTAAATGAAATGTAACCAAGGTTGGAGTCATGCGTTTTTATTCATCGTGTAGGTATGTTTATTATTCTCATGTATTCAGTTATGTACCTATTCAGATTAGTCTAGTACTAAGTTATTTAAAAAAAAATAGTTATGAAACAGCTTACTGCTCTAAATCCTCCGTGGTCTTATGAGATGCGGCTCAAATTGTGCTCCATTCATTTCAAGGCAGATTTGGGTGCAGGCGGGGCATCATCGTGTGGTCTTCGACACAGTCCGTACGTAGTTTCTCGAAAGCATCCACGATCCTTTGGCGCATTTCTTCAGCACTATCACATTCACGATTAAAAATCCTTTCTTTCACATACCCCACAAAAAGAAGTCTAACGGAGTCAGATCTGGTGAGCGAGGTGGGCAAGCGTGTGGTCCTAGTCTGCCGATCCAGCGATCATCAAATAGCTCATTGAGGCGCTCACGGACGAACCTCACGAAATGTGGAGGGGCACCATCATGTTGGAACTATGTGCGGCGATATTCAGCCAACGATAGGTCGTTTAAAATGTCAACCAACTGTTCATTTATAAAGTTTAGGTATCGCTGTCCGTTCAGTCGCTCTGGCAGAAACACTGGTCCCAGTATGCGATCCTTAAATAAACCTGCCCATACGTTAACCGACCATCGGGTTTGGTGCCCGGTTTGTCGAACAGCGTGCGGGTTAACCTCTGAATACACGTGTGTATTTCTTCGGTTCCACAGGCCGTTTCTGGTAAATGTCGACTCATCCGTCCAGATAATGTGCTCAATGGAACCAGGTACACGTTGTTGCTGGTATAATAACCAACGGCAGAAAACTCGTCGGCGGTCGTGATCGCCGGGGACTAAAGCTTGCACTTTGTGCAATTTGTATGGGCGCATTGGTTACGCTTCAATACTTTGTGCACTGCACAGCTTGTTCCATCCCGACGTCTTAACAATTTATTTAGCGATACTTCGTGTACCTAGGTTCGGATACCTAACATGTTGACCACTATAAACGTACGCGTTAGGCATTATTAAAACAAAAAAGAATCCAAAAACGTAACAAAAACTTTAATATCAACACGTAATCACAAGTAAATTTATTAAACAAAACGATCGAACTGTCGCTCGCGCACGCGTGTACAAAATCAACACGGAACTGTCTCAAAACCTAAAACGAACGAACCCCGTCAAGGCAGAAACCTACTGCGTCACAAGCGTGAGGCGACAGGGTTAGGCATTCTGCCGTCATAATAAAAAAGGAAGTAACTAACAAAAACGTAAAATGGAAATAAAAAATAAATTGATGAATTTTTCTTTCAGACCCCGTGTCTAAAGTATATTAAAAGGTATCTATATTGAAATATATACGTAGAGACATGAAGATTTTAAGGACGAACTTATTTTTTTTTTAATTTGTTTATTTATTTAAATAAAACGAATTTTCCTTTTCATCTTAGATTAAAAAAGTACACCTGGCAACACAAAAACATCGAAGGAAAGACGCATATAACTATTTGGGTCTTCCCAACCTAATAAATAAAACAAAACTACCATTCATTTAACATTTTTACATATTTTGGAAAGGTCATTTGAAGTTGAAAGGACGCTAATAGTAATTTACTACTTTTTTCTTAGTAAATATTAGAAAAGCATTGGTAGTGAGACACAAAAAATAACAACCCGCAACTCTTGAGTAATGATTTTAAAGGGGATATCATACAAGACTTACTACGATAATAATTAAAAATTAAAACATTTGTACAACCGACTTTAAAATAAATAATTAAGGATAACTCAAAAACTATTGGTCTGACCTCGATCAAATTTATATGGGACCACATGTGAAACACCAGCTCTTAATAATAAGATATGAGCTCTTAATAATAAGATATAAAATAATAAGACAAGAATAATTTAAATTTAAGTAATCGATGCAAATATTGTTAAAGATGACGTAGCAACTGGTTAAATAAGTCTTTTCTTTTATGTTGAATTTGTATAAGCCTTTTCTACTAATAAAATGTCATCTGTGATCAACAGCTACGTCTAAAATTCTGACGATAATTTCTAAAATATTGATATTAGTGAATATTAAAAAAATTTAGTAGATGCGTCTTCTTATCATGAGTCGAATGGTAATTTATTCGAAAATTGTTAGATGCGCCCTTTTTTCTTATGACCGTAGCATTGTTTCATACCGAGCTAGATACAGGTCGACAGCGGAGTGAGTGTGGGTACAGTCGCGTTCTAAAGTACTACATGGTATTGGGCTATTGTTTTATAATATTATAGTAATTAATTGTTTTATTGTAGAATCATAATAGGTGTTTTACTAGCTACTTAGAACTTTGGAAGAGGTGGGAATTAAAAATAGATAATGTTTACTTGAGCAATGTTTGTTATTTCTATCGTAAAATATAAAGTAGTTTGTAACAAAAAAACTTAAGCTAAGGGTGACACGCCGTCCATTATGACGTCTTGGGTCACATGGAAGCCAGATGTTGATGGTGTGTTGGTGTTACTGGATGCTACTTCATCATCACTTTCATCTTCGCTTGAGCTTCCGTCATCAGGTCGATCACATGGTAATTTTTTCGGTATTCTTCCTCAACAATTTTAACTTTACTGCACAATTTTCCCCATTCACCTTCTCCTATCATATTTACCTTTTCGTTCACTAGTTTAGTCATAAAACAATAGACATAAATAATTTTTTTTCCTTCCTTTTTAAAACATCGTCGCGAGTCGCAAAGTAAGCTGTGTATGCGACTGTATTTTTGGAGCGAACAAAGCGCGGGAACCAATAGCATGCAGGCACAGTAATACTGGCCAATATGTGATAAATCGCTCAGTGCCCAAGTTCAAGGCCAGCGTTCTTTTTTCACCGTTCGCGCGTACATTAACCTCCATTAGTCAGGTGATATCAATTCAGTTTCCACTGCTGGTTTTATGTTTCAGTATTTTCATGATTTTTTTTATGAAATTATCGTTTCATTTAGCTGTACTAACATGATGGCGCGTGAATAAAGCTAATAAAACGTTGTAAAAATATGTTTTTTTTTTTCATCAGGATCAAATTTATTTATGACCCATGATCAAAGGTATACTTGGTGCTGTCGCCTGTCTTAGTTTTCGGGAGCGTTCCAAAAATACCCTGTATTTTGAACACCACTATGAAATTTATTCGCAAAGTTATTTGCAATAATGCCTTCATTTTTGTTTTTGCCTCCAAACGCATTTAAGAGAACTGTATCTACTGTTTTACGTACCCTACCTGTTATTCTATTTAGAATAAACCAGAGTTGTTTTAAATTATCTTTATATTTATTAATTTCATAATAGATGTATTTATGTTTGGAGGATCTGATTAACTTATTTGCATAGTTTCGCGCTTTATTATATTGTGTTTTTTATATTTTATTATTATTATCTTTGATCCATTGAAATAATAGTTTATCTCTATACTCACAAGCTTTTATAATACGTAAACTTATCCATTTATTTTCGGTATGTTTTTTATTGGTGTTTTTAATTTTTAAATTAATTTTTGCATCGTTGTAGCATTCATTTATATTTTTATATATATATTGTAGTATATTATCTGGACCAACCATGTCATCAACTTCCTTCCAGTTAATATTATTTAAGGAATATTTTAACCTTTCATTGTTATATATATTTTTATAAGTAGTAACAGCCTGTGTACGCGCATGAGTTTGTCCCACACAGACAAGGACTACCGCCCGGTGGTCCGCCAGAATAATTCCAAGCGCTGCGGTGTAAATATCTTGCGTGCGTGATCTCGCGTACACATGGTCAATACATGATTTAGTTATTCTATCGTCAGTTAATTCAGTTCTAGTGTACTGTGTAATCCCGCACGTAAGGCCGTAGTTATGAAGCATGCAGTTATATTTATATACTAGCTGTTTCCCGCGACTTCGTTCGCGTGTTAGGGTTTTTATGTTTTTGCGCGGAACCCTAATTATTTTTCTAAAATAAAAGTAGCCTAAGTTACTCCTTATTAAATCAGCTATCTGCCAGTGAAAGTCCCGTCAAAATCGGTCCAGCCGTTTCGGAGATTACCCGGAACAAACAGACAGACAGACAGACAGACAAAAATTTTAAAAATTGTATTTTAGTTATAGGTACCGTATTTACTTTCATATGCATTTAGTAAAAAACTCTAATTTTGACATTACAAACAGACACTTCAATTTTATTTATTTGTATAGATTATAGGAGAATAGGTTTTTAAGTCTATGGTCATATCTCCGAGTATAAATAGTTCGCACTTTGTGTCCATACTACCGATTAATGTGTGAAGTTCGTCGATAAATAAGTGTTTACTTAGATTAGGAGGGCGATAAATTGCACATACAGTTGCCGCATAAAAAGATGGAGTGCTAATTTGAAATAGTATATGTTCAAAATGTTTTGTTGTTACGTTACTTATTCTTGTTAACTTATTTTGCTTGTGTATATATGCTATAATACCGCCACCCCTTCGGTTTTTACGCAGCACTGTGTGCATTTGATAGTCCGGCAGGTGATACATGTCTCTTAGGGAGTCAGGTATATATAATGACTTTCAATAAATATTATGTAATAATCCATATTGAATAAAAATCATTGTATTCTATTCTATTCTATATATACCTAGTCAGGTCATAAATTCTGTCACATGTTTAATATAAAGTAATTGAAACAAGTTTATTCATTATGTAAACATTTATATACGAAAATGAACTTAACAAAACATAGATTCTTATGACACTAAAGTTTATTCAAAATGATCTCCGCGATTTTGAATACAGGCCTTCAATCTGCGCGGCCAGTCGTCTATCGCTGCACGAACGAGGTCCATGTCAATATCGGCGGCTGCCTTAATCAAGGATGTCTTGAGTAACTCCAAATTGGTATGAGGCTTTGAGCACGCCTTTTCCTCCAAGTGTTGCCATATCTTGTAATCTAACGGATTCAAATCTGGACTGGAGGAGGGCCAGTCTTCGTGCCGGATGAAGTCGATTTCACGCGCCGCCAGCCAGTCTTGTGTGCTCTTCGCTCTATGAGCTGGCGCCGAATTTTGTTGGAATACCCAGTGCTTGTTATTGAACATGGTATGAGAAACAGGTTCCACAAGGTTCGTCTGGACTGTATTTTGATACACAACTGCATTCGTTTTTACACCTTTCTCACAAAAATGTACTTCTGTTAAGCCCCAATAAGAAACTCCCAACCATACCATGAGCGAGGATGGAAAATAAACTCGTTAGATACGCAGAATACGGTTGCTCGCTTCTTCACTACTGTATGCGTACACCTTATCATTTTGTTTGTTGTAGCTCTCTTCTACGGTAAAAATTTTTACATCCGAAAAAAGAATTTCCCGATATTTTTTTCCCGCGTACCGCTTCAACAAAGCGCGGCATCTCTTCAGTCTCAGGTCCATTAGACGAGCATTCAAACGATGTCCTGTTTTTTTTTCGATAATCCCGAAGCCCTAAGTCTTCATTTAACACCCTTTTCATCGTGGTTTTGCTTAACCCCATCTGAAGGGCCAACAGTTTCTGCTTACGTTTGGGATTTCTTTGAATTCGCGCCTTCACAGCTTTTATCACTGCTGGTGTCCTAACAGACCGAGGGCGACCACGTCTTGACCTGTCATCTACACTAGAATCTTCATTGTATCGTTTGATGGTACGATAAACGAATCTTTTGGTTATATTCAAATTTTTCATTATGTCAAAAATTTGAATTGGCGCGTAACCGCAACGATGCAACGCAATAACTGCAACACGGCCTTCTTTAAGCGTCCACTCCATATTTAAAAATGAGTAAAATTCTAAAAAGTATACAGTTTTATTTTCATGAACAATTCGAAATTCGAATTCGATAAACTTTTTTGTGGTCAGCATTCTAAAAGAAAAGTTTTTATTGTGTGACAATACTTATGACCTGACTAGGTATATATATTATATGGTTCTATCGCTTAGTCTTCGATAGTCTATGACTAACCTCCATTTTAGCTTACCTAATGCGTTCGGTTTTTTAGCTACAATACGAACAGGGCCAATATGAACCCATGGTCATATGGGGATATACTTTCACGAATAATACCTTGTTTTAAAAGGTTGTGTTCTTGATTCTGTATTTCTTTGCGTTATTGTGGGGCTTGTCTATAACGTCTTACAAATATCGGAGTCTGGTCGGTCAGTCTTAACTGATGTTTAACTGCATGCATAAAAGAAAGTGGAATATTTTCAGAGTAGAAGATGTCTCTATACCGATAGCAAATCTTAGTGATTTGTCGTGAAGCGACAATTAAAAACAAAAAAAGGAACCTAACCTAGCAACAAAACAACAAAAATAGGGCAAAACAAATAATCTATTTAAAATTTAAAAAAAAAATATTTACAGATTTATATAAAAAAATGATGTATGAGGATGAAGATGGGTGATGTGATTTACAATTATTTAAAAAAAAGATAATAAAAATGATGGGTATTGAAGCTGAGGCCGAAGATCCAAGAGGTACACCGCTTTTGGTGGTGTTCTTCGCTGCCCACAGATTATACGCAGGCTGTGCTGGTGGTAGGCCCACAGCGCCTGGAACGAGCACGCACAGCGTAGGTGAAGGCGTGGGTGTGTCTAGGCGACGACTTCAGGAGAATGCAGAGGTTTGCAAGATCCGGCGTCTTCAGGCAAGACAGAGGCTTGCAGGATCCCAGCGACTTCAGGCAGGTCAGAGGCCTGCAGGATCCGGTGACTTGAGGCAGGACAGAGGCTTGTAGGATCCGGCGAATTCAGGTAGGACACAGGCTTGCAGGATCCGGAGACTTCAGGCAGGACAGAAGCTAGCAGGATCCGGCGACTTCAGGCGGGGCAGAGGCTTGCAGGGTCCTGGAGACTTCAGGCAGGACAGAGGCTAGCAGGATCGGGCGACTTCAGGCAGGACAGAGGTTAGCAGGGTCCCGGCGGCTTCAGGCAGGACAGAGGCTTGCAGGATCCCGGGGCAGTGCGGCCCCGGGATAAGGCCTTTAGGAGATTCTTCAAGTTTGAGAACCGAAGCGAGACTGAGTTTATTGGCCGATTGTTCGGCTTTTATACCTTTTTAGAGAGAACGGAAAATTATTTAAATTAAACGCAAATTTTTTGTAAATGGCCAAGAGGAAAGAGTATTTATGTGGAATTATCGAAGTAGAAACAACAGACCGGTAGCGAATTTGAATAAAAATTGTCATGACAACCAGATAAACAACGATGTCAAAACATGTCAAATTTTGGTTTTAGGCTCGTAATAGAGAAACAGCAAGATTTAAGTGAAAAATGAGATATTATTGCTATAGGAAAAAAGGTAGCACACCAGCGCGCACAAAGCCCGAAATTGCAGAGTAACGGAGAACTAAATAAAAGATCGAAAATGGTAGACTCCATCGACACCAAATTAAAAAATGCTGATAGCGTGAAAATACGAAGTGAAAATGATTTGTTATTGTGTTCTTATGGTTTAAAAACGTTACAGGATCCTATAGAAATAAAGGTGATACAAAATATCCAGTTTTGAGGTGAATGCAGAAAATCAAAACAGAATGGAAAAATGAATTTAAAATAGTGTAAAATGATATGTAAGTAACATAACACTTCATTTTCCCCCCGACCCTTGAAAATTTTTGACTCAGCAAAAATTTTGATATGTACATTCTAAAATAAACCGTAAAAACACAGCTTTGCAGAAACAGACATCACCAGGCAAAATCAGATATACTATCTCTTACATTCATCATCTGCATTCAGGTAAGGGTGGAGTTCACATTCAATGACTACCACTCTAAAAGTGTGTTTTCGAAAGGACATTCAGGCTTATTTAAGGAGTTGTCATCCGCTCCTGCGTGGAAAAAAAAATATTGAGGGAGTAGTCAGCCGCTCCCAAGTGAAGATAAAGGTAAAGGAATTAATCTTAAGTAAGCTTTAGTCGCTATGACTTAAGTAAAGATTAAGAACGGCCAGAGCGGTAGGGCTCAAAGCCAGAGATCAGCAACATCACCAACGAGATGTGTCTGAAATAAAAATAAAAAGTGAAGATTAACCAACGAAAATTCGAGGTCCTAAAGCAAGATGTGTTGAAGAACACTACTTACATATCATTTTTTTCGTACTTTAACCCTTTTCATTGTTATAATTAAGTGCAAAGTTAAGTTTAAGAAATAAAAATTTAATTAAAAAATTATACCTCTTTAAGTTATCTAGAATAAAAATATTAAAGTGATGAATGTAAGTGAAGTGTTAAATGTAGGTCTAAATATAATCCAGATAAGTTGAAACACTAGATGAAGTGTTGTTTTAGAATTTGGAAGGTATGAAAAGGATGAATAAATAAAGAGTTAAGAAATTAAGAGAGAAAGAGAACTTTTACGTTGGGCGCCAAAATGTCGTGAAGCGACAATTAAAAACAAAAAAAGGAACCTAACCTAGCAACAAACCAACAAAAATAGGGCAAAACAAATAATCTATTTAAAATAGAAAAAAAAGATATTTACAGATTTATATTTAAAAAAAATGATGTATGAGGATGAAGATGGGTGATGTGATTTACAATTATTTAAAAAAAAGATAATAAAAATGATGGGTATTGAAGCTGAGGCCGAAGATCCAAGAGGTACACCGCTTTTGGTGGTGTTCTTCGCTGCCAACAGATTATACGCAGGCTGTGCTGGTGGTAGGCCCACAGCGCCTGGAACGAGCACGCACAGCGTAGGTGAAGGCGTGGGTGTGTCTAGGCGACGACTTCAGGAGAATGCAGAGGTTTGCAAGATCCGGCGTCTTCAGGCAAGACAGAGGCTTGCAGGATCCCAGCGACTTCAGGCAGGTCAGAGGCCTGCAGGATCTGGCGACTTCAGGCAGGACAGAGGCTTGTAGGATCCGGCGAAATCAGGTAGGACAGAGGCTTGCAGGATCCGGAGACTTCAGGCAGGACAGAAGCTAGCAGGATCCGGCGACTTCAGGCGGGGCAGAGGCTTGCAGGGTCCTGGAGACTTCAGGCAGGACAGAGGCTAGCAGGATCGGGCGACTTCAGGCAGGACAGAGGTTAGCAGGGTCCCGGCGGCTTCAGGCAGGACAGAGGCTTGCAGGATCCCAGGGCAGTGCGGCCCCGGGATAAGGCCTTTAGGAGATTCTTCAAGTTTGAGAACCGAAGCGAGACTGAGTTTATTGGCCGATTGTTCGGCTTTTATACCTTTTTAGAGAGAACGGAAAATTATTTAAATTAAACGCAAATTTTTTGTAAATGGCCAAGAGGAAAGAGTATTTATGTGGAATTATCGAAGTAGAAACAACAGACCGGTAGCGAATTTGAATAAAAATTGTCATGACAACCAGATAAACAACGATGTCAAAACATGTCAAATTTTGGTTTTAGGCTCGTAATAGAGAAACAGCAAGATTTAAGTGAAAAATGAGATATTATTGCTATAGGAAAAAAGGTAGCGCACCAGCGCGCACAAAGCCCGAAATTGCAGAGTTACGGAGAACTAAATAAAAGATCGAAAAAGGTAGACTTCATCGACACCAAATTAAAAAATGCTGATAGCGTGAAAATACGAAGTGAAAATGATTTGTTATTGTGTTCTTATGGTTTAAAAACGTTACAGGATCCTATAGAAATAAAGGTGATACAAAATATCCAGTTTTGAGGTGAATGCAGAAAATCAGAACAGAATGGAAAAGTGAATTTAAAATAGTGTAAAAGGATATGTAAGTAACATAACACTACATATTTCGCATTTCTCCTCTTCACTCTATGGTCAGTACGTATTTTGTTTAAATTGTTGCGTGATTCTTTCTCTATATCTGAGTTAACCTCTATGGAATTTAAACTGCATCTAGCTCTATCAGAATTCTCACGGTATGGTTCTAGGTACCTATATCTTTTCATTATTAGAAACTATTCGTTTTTCTGAATTAAAATTTATAATAAATTTTATATATATTGTTGTTCATATTGTCCAGGTGAACCTGTGTAGAATAGCTCCTCAGCTGCAAACCTTTGTTTTTGACGCTTAGAGACGGATCTCGTTGTGACGTCTGAAACCTTCTGTGCAGGATCTGCTAGCTGCTGGG